TCCAATTGGAATGAGATACTAGCGAAGGTACGAGAATGATCCGTTTTTCAATCTACTCGTTTCTTGTAATAATTGCTGCGATCGATGGATTGGCACAGGAGGATCAATTGCACAGCTTGCGCGTTCCCATGATTTAAAGCCTTTAGATTTTCTTGCGAATGGAATAAAGATATTTTCATTTGCTCTGTAGGATCCACAGAATAAATTGTACATTAAGTATTAGATTGTTCCAATAAATAAAAGCCTAGAGGATTTTTGTTATAGTACTATTGCAGTAATATCTGAACTGAAACTTCAATGAATTGAAATGAACTTTACTTGGACAAATATTAGGGAAAGCTATATTTAAAAAATTCCAGACTTTGTATACCTTTGGAATTCTTTGAACGTTTCACTTAAGAGTTGTTAATATTTAACTTTCAAAACGGTTGAGTAGAAGCCCTTTCTTCGATACTTCTTCCACATACATATTAATTCACGGTAAACGTTAATAATTAGCAGGTGAAAGCCAAGTGACGTTCCGCTGAATCTTTAACCTCGTGGATATTTGATGATGTGGGAGGTCTTACTTCCTATCTCTGCACTCCGTAGATTCGGTAATTAATGTTCAACATCTCCGTTTAAATTAACTTAAATGCATCTCGAATTAAAAACAATTTCTTCTTTCTTTCGAGCTCATTATTGTTGCCGTTGCAAAAAAACATATTCGAAGACAATAATGGAGATGAAAATTGTTCAGCGTAATTTTATGAAACGTTCTGAGGGTAAAAATATTCAAATACGCAAGTACGTGAATGTATTTGCACAGAGTTATTGGGAATATAAAAAAGGTGCACAAATGAAGTAGATTATATATAGACAATAATATTATATTTATATTATTCATTTGATTATACGCGCATTATTTATTCCGTCATTCTCATACTACTTATATTACATTACGATTATAGTTTAGCTTATAAATTTCTAAAAAGAACCAAGTTTTGAATTTTGGAATACGAGGATGCTTACCAGAAAATCTTTAATGTCAATGCTGACTCGACTCTTTCGGCTCTGACGTATCGAGTTCTCGAAGTCCCGAAGCAACATGTAAACGTAATATTCATGTTTTCGTTTTAAGCGGCGAAGAAACAAAAGTTGATGGATCCCGTGATACCGATGACAGCATTGTGAAAATAATGAAATGGCACGCATCCAAAGAGATCTACACAACGTCTATCGCGAGAGTAAAGAGGTTCTGAAAGACTAGCTTCCAGAACTGGCCGAGAGCCAATTCACGTTTACCTGATATGTCTACTCTCTCCACGCTTAAATAATACTACGCGAGTTCACTTTCATTTAAGATAGAATTAGAGATTACGTTTGATAGGGGATGTTTTCAGACGAGAACAAGTCAAATCATCTGTCAAGATGGAATTTCTTTTTATGCTCTGCGATTGCTTATAAGTAGATGAAAATCTTTAAATAATTGTACCTCCCTTAGTATTTGAGACAACAGACGTATATAACAATTTTAATGAAAATATATTTATGGAGAAAAATAGAAATCTATATGGTTTAGTATTAAATTAATGTACAATTAGTACAATTAATGCGAATGGTACAATGAGTGAATTCTCATGAATTTTATTCTACGTATATTTAGATATTTATATAAATGTTGTTTATATACATTAAGATTTCATTTTATCACTTAATGTTGCTTCAACATTTTAAATAGGATTCTCTATTAGAAAAGGAAGTTATTATTACTTGGTACATTTTCTATTCTTATTAGTACTTCTCTCCAAAAAATTTTAAATAACATATACAATTTAAAAAAAATAACAACAGTGTGATCAATCAGCTGTTTGGCAATCGCCATAAAAACACACTTTCTCAATACCTCGCGCTTCAACAAATCAAAGGATTAATATCGTAGAAACTTTGGCATAACACTTACTCCTTAAAATAAAAGTTTAACTGAAAACTAGAGCATGTTTAGTTGAGATGAGGTTATCGCATAAAGAGCAAAGTCCGTTAAAAATTGTATCGACGCCAGGCGAACAGAGGTACGTAAAGTTAGGATTGCCAGGAAGTTACGCGCGCAGTTTTCTCACGGGCGAATTTCGCGACATTTCTTTTCCAACATTTCATTGGTAGTTAGTTCAATTGAATTTCCTCCAAACGTGTACGTGGACAAAGTTTGCAGCAGAGGCAACCCCGACAAGTAACTGCTTGATGGGCTAACATGACTCTGGGAGCATCTTGTTACGGAAAGCTGGCCAAAGCTCCAACTTGTCCTTAATGTTTCAAACTACAGTTTAATCTTTTCGTAAGTATCTCCATGAGAATGACAGGTTGACTTGTCCCGTGAAATGACTTGTGCACACGTGTGTAGATGTGAAGTGGTACAAAATGAAATGTGCCAAGACGGTGTTACAGACTTTATTGGAGTATTATACAATGCACTGATTGGTTATCGAATGGAAGACGAAAAACGAATACTGTCCGAGTCTTCGACAATATGAATGCTTTTATAATATTGTATTACTTATGTGATGTATGCTCAGTTAATATTACAATGAACGATTCTTACGGTATTATAATTGTATAATGTTATAGTATAAATAATATCATCACACAGTAGTAGCAAATAAATAATTAATTGTTGGAAGAAGCGTCAAGAATCGTATGGTAATTTTTTTAGATTATATATGTGATGTTTCAGAAATACCAAGTTTAATTAAAGTTTCATTTATATAATCGACGTTTTATATGCAGCAACTTAAAAATACGGCAGCTAATGAAGATCGAATTCCTCCAGCAAGGTTTTCTGTGTTCTTTCGATGTTAGTATGCCGTTTAGTCTGCATTTAATTGTACCTCTCCGTCGTTCGAACCTAATATCCGCGTACATATATTCTGACTGTAGGTACTTACACGATGTAAGCACATAAACCACTCGAGTGCAGCGGGCGAACATCGAGGTTAGCTGAATCGAATTTTAAAGATTTTCCGCAGGGTCAAGCACGTCTTTGGTGGAATAGATACCGTGTCTGCAAAATAATTCCTTAAGGGGTTAGCCCACTTTAAAACTTGAACAAAATCGAATTTTGGGTGTGTTCAAACGGTGCTTTAAACTTCTAAAAGAAAATACTGTTAGTTCTAATTAAAAATTAGAAAGCTTCTATGGAAAGCCTCAATTAAATAATAGGATTGGCGTTTTCAAATAAATTTCTTGTAATTGTAAACGCTTTATTCAACTTTGTTTAAAATCAAATTCTGAGAGAGACTTTATTTTTACATTACGAATGGGAATGTCTATCGATTTTACGAAATACCAAAAACTGTGGAATCTACATTTTTATGACAATAAATGATACTTTTTGCTCTCGACTATTTTTCAAAGAATTGAAACTCTTGAAAAAATATTTTTATATACTTTAAGACTTGTGTAATAAATACATTTCAAGAGATTTCCTAGAAGTTTCATAATTTCCGGGAAATAAATTCACAAAAATGGGTTATTTCTGAGGGTGTTTAAACAGGCTAACTCTTTAAAGATTGTACCAAAGAATTTCCTGGGCGTTTTACTAATTTGATGTGTTACATGAGTACGAACTGAGATTAATGATTCTGAGACGTAAAATTCCCCAGGGATATTGAATTTCAGGGATCTAATGCGACCTCCGCTTTAATCGGAACCAACTATTTCCGCTTACGTCCACCGTCGATGGATGGGACCTTATCGAAATTCGCAGTTTTAAAGAATTTCAATAGTTCATTCTTGAGATTTTTATCAAGTATCTCTTTGGAAATGTAGAGGAATGAGAAACCTACCCTTGGGATAACATTCTGAACCAGGAATGGTTAAATCGAAGGCTAAGTTAAATTTAAATTTAGTTACATTTAATAGGGATTAAGAAGAAGGACCAAATATTAAGTGTTTTCCGTTATTTTTTATTTACAAAGAAAAATTTTGTTAATCCTTTTTAACTTTGAGAATAATTTAAGGTACGTTTTAAATTTCAATTTTTAATTTTCTCATGACGTAAAAGATTAACCATACTGTATTCGGCGTATAAATGCATAGTTTGTGCAACTTCATGTAAAGCAAGTATTAGCATACAAAACAATACTTGCATAAAGAAAAATATTCACATACGCAGTTTAAGGATTAGCAATCAATAATGACGTATTGTTAGCTAATGGCAGGGAAAGAAAGGCCTTGGTTGTGATAGTAGTCGGTTAAGTGTAGGTACAGAACAATTACGATTAGTAGAAGGAATCGCATGGTGTAATACGAGAGTGGCTAGCAGTGTACCCAATCTGTCTCCTAAAACAATATGTGGGGATATCCAAGTTAAATGCAGGATATTTAGGCACTACTATGTGTCTGCTATTAAAGCTACCCGAGATAGGTTAATCAGGTCCGTGGGCAGCTTAATAAGCTCTTCAGGGTGCTTAACCAGTTTCTCAGGCAGCTTAACCACCTTAATCGGCGTCCTAGGAAGCTTAATAAACTATTTAGAACAACTCCTGCTATTCTTGCAAGGTACAGCATTTTTAATCTTGTGCGAGTAAGCATTTTGAGAAAACGGTTTGTGAGTAAGCTTTGGTTGATAAGCTGAAAAGCATTTTGTTGCTTTGTACATATAAAATTATGTATAAAAAATTGTATATATAATATTTCATACAATTTCTGTTTGATTAAAAAATAAAATCTTGAAGCCTCAATTGAAAACCCCTTAATATGTAAATATACTTTGTATACATGTAAATTTATTTTAATTTGTGTTGGTATGTGTTAGTACAAAGGTGCCTTATACGTTCCTTGAGTAAATAATAATTAATTGTATCAGATGCATGAACAAATACTTTTGTGTTACGATGGAAATCCTAAGGCCTTCATTTTTTCTTTTCTTTCGTCATAAACAATACGTAATAATACATTACAATATACAATGTATAAATAATCATTACAAACACTAATAATGGTATTATTTTTGTTGTTCACAGGTAACATGACGTTTACCCGAGACGTCTGCAGAGCAAGAACATAGAGGTACGTACCTTACTTACAACTTGTTAGACACATTAAAGCGCATTAGAATGGAGCGTTCGTCTTTCGACTAACAATAAGTCGCGAACCTTCGAAGCGCGAACCGAATACAAATAGCTTAGCGACATCGGAATTTTGCTAATAGGACTTTCACCTAGAAGATAACGCACTACTCGTCATTGTTCCTGTTTAATTTTGATTAAAAAACCAGCAATTTCGATTGGACTTAAAAATCATTCTCCACGAAAAAGAGTAATTCTTGTAAATGTTTAAAAAAACAAATCAGTGACAGAACTTTTAATTAGTTTCTTGTAAATCTTCTGATTATTCTTTTGCAAAAATGTCTTATTGTACAGTATTCAGAGGTCGTGATTGGATTTATTTCCGTCGGTAGAACCTCGTCGATCCATTAATAAATTCTCTCATGAAGGTATTTATAATGGAATGTAAATATTAAACAATCGTATACGCGCGTGGCATCACTTTGTGGTATCGTATAATTGAAGGTATTCCGTACCAAGTTGTCTCTGAATTGATTTTTGCTGAAAAGAACTTCCCTAATTCATTGGTAGTACTATCGTAAAAACACTTTTAATGAAAAATAAATATGAGGAATGTTGACGAGGTCGTGCTTGGACGTGTTTTCAGCGGGAAAATTCTGTCAGCGTATTGAGGATTATCTCACAAAGGTATGAAGGTATATACATATACAAAATTTTATACGTATTTACCGAATTAGGTCATTTTCGGGTTCGTTTTCATCGGAAAAACTCTGCTATTCGTTGATGATATGCTCATGAAGATCATTATAACAGGAATTAAAGCATAATAAATTATATATGCATGCTTCACCGCTTTGAAGTAGCAAATATTCTTTGATCCGAAATATAAAATGACTTGCATAGGATACGATAGTTTTATGTAAATGAACCAAATAAGAAATTAAACAGTGAGTTGAATCCGGAGGTTGATAGACTCTCGAATAAATTAAAATTCGTTCTTATTAGGTCAATACTTCCAAGTTAACTTTTGTTAACTACTTAGTTTAAAAGTCAATATCTATCCTGGGAAATATTTGAATAGAAAGGTACATATCTCGATTAGTTGGAGAATATTAATTAAACGCGACTGTCACGATATAAATGTTTGAAACAAACAGTATGAAGAATTCATAAAATAAAAGGGAACAGTTGCGAATTTTGCTGAAAAATATATAAAAGAGGATTCCAATCTTTAAAAATACGTAATTTATAACGACGAGTTCAAATTCAATATTTCCGGTGCAAATGGAAAAATAATTGCGTGGGAGAAAACTGAATATTGCAATGAATATGAAATATCTTCGATCGACGGTTAAATTTGAAGCTGGATGACGAATTGTGAGGGATTGCATTTCATATTTTGGTGTTGGAACGTTATCGTCAGCTATAGAATACGAAATCTGGCTTATTTAAACGTATTAACTATTAATTTAAAAATGAATGATATAGGTGAGGAAAAGAATGTAGATAAACGCAAAACAACGAGAAAGTGAGGTATTGTCCACAACAGAGGAAGTGCGTGGAACGTAAACAAATAAACAGCACGAAATTCAGTTGGTCGATAAAACGAGCGTTTGGATAACAACATTTAATATTTTTCTGCGCTTCTCCATCTGAACAATTTTAATGAAACAACAGTGGAACACCCGCTATTAACTTGTTACTTATCCTCCGTCATTTTCGAAATTTGTTTAAATATTTTTTTTCAGAACGATTGCAAATCGAACGGAGCATTTTATTTTCTATTTTGTGACAATCTCGTTTGCTCGGTCAGTTGTTACTAAATGTACACTCGGCCGTCCGTGCGCAGTTAGAGGAAACCGAGTCGCAGTGGAAATATGTAACGTGTATTGCCTTCGTTTCTCTTTAAATTAATTGATTTGTGCGTGTCTATCGGTTGGAAATAAAACCTCGCCAGAAACACGCGAAAACGAACGAACGGAGATATGGCGATTCTATACAGACGGAAAATAACGTGCCCAAAAATTAAATTGAAGAGAAATTGAATGTATCGCGATATTCTAGAATGTAGTTTCGAGTGACGAGATAGTCACTGGAGAGATGAAGAAAGGACAGTCGAAGATTAAGGAGTATGAGGGTTGAGCGATGATTATTATTTAATTATTTGTATTTTTGTAGAAATTTTGTAGAGTCTTTAATTTAAAAAGAGATTTTAACGCTTTATTTACTACTTGTAAGATTTTTAATTTCATTGTTCTTTATTACACTACTTACTGTAATGTCTTTCATGAATATTATACTGCATTATAATTATTTGTGTTTTTAATAAATCTTTTCTAACGCCGATACCTAAAGCGTTAATAAATAATCAAAATTGGATTCCACTTCGCCAAAACTGGTATGTGGTGTTATACAAGTTAGCAGAATATGAACAACGTGCAATAATTTTGCTTTATAGTATGAATGATTACATCAGAGTTGCGCATTTTATAGGTAAAAGCACGTAACTTTGCACGCGTGTTATTTATAGATAATTAGTCTTTTTAAGCGTTGTAGGATGGAATGCACTTTGGGGCGCCATATCGGCGAATGGCGTCCAAAATCCATTACCAGCCTGTAACTTCTAAATGGGTGATCGGATTTCAATTTTCCTTTATTCACTTTAAACCTATTTTTAAGGCAAACGCTTTTAATCGTTACAAATTTTTCTTTAAATCTAAATAGTTTCATACAATTAAAAGAAAAAAGTATTTAATTCTAAAAGTAGATCTATGTAGTTACTTGGATGAATGAAGATTAAATTGAATGATAATTATAAAAATAAGTTTTCGTGAACAAAATTCAACATATCTATCTTTAAACGTTTAATGATACTACTCGTGAAGTAACAGTTTCACGTATTCATATACAAAACTGTACTGAAAATAGAAAAGTTAACGAAACAAATACTACAAGGTAAACAAGCTTTCACACATCGTACGTGACTTCTTACATTTGAGTCTGATTAGATCTTTAGTATCCTCACTAGCAGAAGGTTTCATTGTCTACAGGAAGATTCAACAACTCGAGTTCACTCAAACAACCAGACGACACTAGAGCTTTTTAAAGTGCCTATTCGCAGACACAATTTGCCTGTACATGTTGTATTATGTTGTGTTATATTGCGTCATTGTTATGTGTGTTTTGCTGTTATATATTCCATATATTAGGGGGACCGAAAAGTAATAAAAATATCTTCCACTTGGAAAGGTTTGTCAATGAGAAATCGAAGAACTTTTGTAAAGGGAATCGAACAACTGCTTTTACGCTGGCAAAAAGTTCTAGAAAATTATGAAAATTACTTTGTTGATTAGTATTTAAGATATATTTAAAATGTTGATAAAATTTTGATTACTTTTCGGTCCCCCTAATATACATATAACACAGCGTAACAAAAGATAAAACAACATCACACAACCTACAAGTGAACAGAATATAAAACAACATAAAACAATGTATACAGCAATATCACCACACAACGGTACACGCAGTCTATGTACATATGTAAAGAATCGTGACGAGTGGCGTATACAAGAGTGTTAGATTTGGCACTAGACTGCTTAAGTGTTCCAAATTGTCGTCTGCGGGTTGTTTTTGGCACAGGGAAATCCTTTCGCACCCTTGATGCAAAAGAAATGGCTGAAGCATCGGGGAAGAGAAAGATGTCAAGTTCTAACAGCTCTCCAAGCTCTAACGGGCTGTGTTACCACTTCTAAATTCTCAGGAAGAGGTAAAGTAACTTGGTGCACAATATAAAACGGCTACCCCCAGGAGCGACGCATGCTCTCTGCGTTCCTTTCAGCCCACCCTCCGTAAAAGATGTTAATAGCGTAAAATAGAAGCGAAACGAAATTCTGTCTATCGAAATGTCTGTCATCGGTTCATTTGGTCCCGCTGGATAGAAATCAAACACAAACAACGACACACTTTCGCTGTTTGCACCGAAACATAGAATCTTAGGTAACATTTCATCTATGCTTCTTGCCAGCAGCCATCGCGTCTTCGGAGTAGAGTGACAAGCAAGCCACGTCTGGGGACAGACACTTTAAAAAGTTCCAGAAGTTGCTTGCTTTGTAAACATTTGATTGGACTCGAGTTTCAGAGTCTCCCCCCTGGCAAACCAGCATGGATCGCGCGACCTGGCGCTGAATGTCGAGAGCCATTCAGATGAAAGTGTAAAAAATCATATACAAGGTATAATGGGTGACTTGCAATCATCTGTGATTGTTTCGAGGTTATTACAAAGGGTAAATTTTATATTTCGAGGGCACTTTTAAATGTAGATATGAGTTTTTCACTCTATAATTATTATTATTTTTAAATATGTGATAAGTGTATTAGAGTTGACCAAAGGAAGGATAAATCACGCAAGCCAGTTTGTGATTTTTATTTTAATATATTGTACCATGAGTTCTCAAAAGTCGAAGTGTATAATTCATGAAATAAAAAATGAAGCTTTACAGCTTGGAACGCCTGAAATATTTACTAGTGTGAAATAGCTTTTGGTCTCGAGCGTGTTTGTCCTATTTATTAGTAATAAGCTTATACGTGGATCTAATTTATTCCTTATTGGTGTAAACAACGTGACCTATTTTCGGACCTGTACTTTCAGTTTTTAAAAATTGTGCAAAAGGTTTGAAGAGGAATTTTTTATGATTCGAAACTTTTGTTTTAAAAAGAGTTTTAAAACAAAGAAAGAAAAATTGAAATCTGTGAACGGGAGTTTATGTATTTATGGCAACTGAAAATATGGGAATGTATATGAGGATGTGTACAAATTCGAAAATATACAAAATATCTATAAATAGATATTTGATCAAGAATAACATACATTTTAATTGAATTTCTATAAATTCGCATGTTAAAAACTTTTCTCTTCACTACTCCAAGAACGAATAACAGAGGATGATACAAAGCAGAACCATACTAATAGCGTTAATCTAGCCACGCGCCCTTGAGGCA